GTGTTTATGCTGCAAACGTTTCTAAAGCTACTCCTTCCTACACTCTTTCTTGCAAACAGATCTTGCAAAAGAACTTATTAACCCTAAGACTAAAAGTTTGGCATTTGATCCACCATTACTTTGATCTATTCCTAGTGGAACTGCAGTGGCAATGTATCCCCCATTCAACAATGACTGTGGTAATACCACTAGAAAAAGCAGGATCATATGCAGTGTTGAGTTTGTCGTAGGTAGGCTCTCTCCACATACTGTGATAGTAGCTGAAATAATGCTGAGTAGCCACATTGCCTTCAGAGAGCAGCTGACAAGTTTGTATCGACTGATAACCACCTCTGCTAGGAGACTAACTATGGGACAGGGGATTACTGCAAGAGTCAATGTAGTTGTGGTCGTATGGCTAGCCATTGATAAATGTGAAGCCTGCTGAACAGCTAATGAGAAACTCCCAGGCGATGATGAGTAGCAGGCTGTGGAGCCAATGCTGCGACAAGGCCACCTTCTCCTGAGCAGGTCTGCCTTTAGACCTACTAGCCCTCTGAGATTCTCTCTGAATGCTGTCAACTCCAGAACCTCTTATAATAGTGATGCTTTCATCTTCACAACCATTTGACGCCATTTTTGAGCTGTAAATGTGTCTTCACACACATAGCAGTAACTGCCCAATTATTAGTTTTGGTGAAATGTCTTATGTCATAACCGTTCCTTGGCCGTTTTCCAACATATTTTCTATATTATAGTGTTGCTACTCACTCTGTAATGCGTTTTGATCCTGAAAATATGCACTTGCTCTTTATGAAACTGAGCTAAGTTGTTTTGAAGACATAGTGTGTGTTTAGGATGAAGCGGCATCACCTTCGTTTCACTTTTCACTGGAAAACAAAACGAGGAGGGTTTTTTTTACTGTGCATGCAACCACGAATGTTTGGGCATGGTCAGCAGCACATACCAGTGGCAAAGACTTGTGGGGATGAATCTCATTAGTTCAGAACCACAAGTGCTGCGCTGCTGGTAGCCTTTATAAACTGGTGTGCCAGAGAGAGAAGTTGCAGATGCTCTGGTGATGAGGGCCAACAAGCCCGAAACAGCTGTCCAGAGCTCCACATCTTTTTTCTCTTGGCATCACATGGTATTTTTACATGCCCACATGTTACTATGTATATGAGTGGCATAATGTTAGATCTGTAGGGCACCTGGTACCTCCCAGCCCATTACACAATCCCTATATTGTTGCCTGTTGTGCACTCTCAATATGGCAGTGGTTGCACCACAGAATGGCAAATGTCATTCATTCTTGTGCTGCTTGTTCTGGTACTTGTGGTATCCTTCCTCCACTAAATCCTGATATCTTGTGATTTCATCTCTCTCTCTTGCCTTGTACCATCGTATGACCAAGCCCAGTAGAGCAGATGACACCACTGCCAATACTAGTGTGCTCAGGTAGAACCAGATACCACATGTACTGGTGTGGAGTATTGGAAACCATTTGTTGCTCCATACCAAAAATAGGAGTGTTCCAAGGACTACGAAGAAAATTATTGTTGTGAAGAAAAGTCCTATCAGAAAGCCCTTCATATTGTATGGTGCCTGTGCACATACAAACTCAGTGCTAGATTTTAAAAAGCACTACTATTGCGAATGCCAGGATCAATTGGAAAGGAATGTTAATCAAAATTCTCATTTCACTTGCATTATGGCTGTTTTGTACAAACATACACCCAGTATTACCATCGAACAGAATCGCCTCTGTCACCACACCATACAATGAAGAAGCAATGAGTGCTGCAGCTCCAATTCCAGCAGACTGGAGGATGCTGGGACCTCGGTTTCTCAGACATGGGTAGATGAGTAGCTCATACAGTGGAATAGTGACCATGATGCTGGACATAGATATTAGTGTTGGCGTGCAACACTAGGAACGAAATTTTCTTTGAGGTGTAGTAAACCAAAGCTTTCTTCCATGGCCGCTTGTGATTCATAGTGAGCCATAAATGTTACAGCAGATATTCCAATAACCACAATGACACAGGACTCTCCAGAATCCCAATGAGTCCACAGAGAGCAGTAGGGTGGCAGCAGTGACATAACCATACTAACTTGACTTGTGTGAAAATGTGTACAATTGTAAGTAATGATGCTACAATAGACGGACACAAGACCACTAAAAAATGTCCAGACTAGCCATAGTATGAAGGCAGAAATGTTAGCATCAGATCCACTAGAAATCTGGTCTATTCCTAGTGGAATAGCACTGCATGAGTGCGCTCCCAGGACACGTATTGTAGCAGCAAAATTATAAGGTGATATTGTATTGCATATTTCTCCCACAGTAAAGTCTTCCACATAGTGTTAAAACATTACCAAATGGAGAATAACCCAATCCCTTTCAGAGTGAGCTTACAAGTTTGTATCGACCAATGACGACTTCTGCTAGAAGACTGCTATTGGAATTGAGATGAAAGAAACCTGGAAATGACTAGGGCATATAAGGCTGGATTTTCCTTCTTCTCTGGACTCAAATTCGACTTGTATTGCTGCATTGTTTTGATGGTGAACTTGAAGTCATGTATTTATATGAAATCCGTAGTTCTCGTAAATGACATGCAGTACTACACAACTGTTAGTTGAAACATGGCAGAGACGCACATCACACAAATAGAAACAAGAGATTAGTGAAACCCATATAGGTATTTACTCTAGCAGTATATATACATGTAGTAGAGTTGTCAAGGTCGCGATTGAGCCTCAGAATATTTAGAACCACAGAGAAGATTGCATACTGTACGCTGCAAGGCAGTTGCCACTCAATCATAATCCCCAAAATTCCTTCAACTTCAAGGTCACTGGATTGTTGTGTACCAATAAAATAATGGCGACTTGTGTTGGAGAGAAGGAAGGAATCAGCATGAGAGAATCGTGTTCTGGTGACGATGTCACAGTAACGGAGTCACCTCCAGGAGTCCAGGAGAGCAACATACGCAGAGTCAGACACACCAGCAGACGGAGGAAGTGGAGACATCGTAGCATTGGTTCACGCAGCCTCTTGCTCATTGGGTTATGGGTTTCACTAATCTCTTGTTTTCTATGTTGTTGTGATGTGCGTCTCTGCCCTGTTTTTACAACTAACAGTTGTGTAGTATATGCATTTCATTTCCGAGAACTAAGGATTTCATAATATGACTTCAAGTCTAGTAAACACATCCTTCACTTTCAATAGATCCAAACCTTCCCACAAAAGATCAGTGAAACTTTAAAGAAGTGCATGCTGCACATCTATTCCTAATTTCTACACTCTTTCTTTTACAAAATGCAATACTGATACAGATCTTGCAAAAAGTATATACTGTTTAACCCTCGGGCTGCATGCACAGCGAGGGTTGCAGTACTAGGCTTGTATGTATGTCTGTCTGTCTGTGACACCCTCTCTGGCATAGCAGCACTGTATCGAACTAGGTCCACCATAATTATTTCGACTTGCCATAGTCCAGTCTTGTTGGGCGTTCATTTTCACAGTATGTGAAGGCACACTTTTGCTTTGCTGCATATTTCAAGACTTTGAAAATAAGACTCACTGGATTGACAGTCACTGGCTCTTTCACCAGTTTGTGGTGGAAATGAAAGTCCAAAATGAGTCCCACAGAGAGCAGTAGGACCGGCAGCAGTGACATTATCATCCTTGCTTTACTTGGTTGCAAATATGTGCAGTCATACAGTAAGGATCGTACAATTCTAGGAGCAGCTAGCCAATTAAAGAAAGTCAAGTTATATAAAGGTAGTATTCAATCCTCCAGTAATCTTGTCTAATGCTAGTGGAACTGCACTGACTAAAAATGCCCCCAGAATCAAATACTGTGGGATGACCAATACATCTAGCTGCAAATAAATGATTCATTTTTATCGCACGCGTAGATTGTGTGACATTTGGCAAAATGGTACTTTAGATAAACTCCAGACATTAATTGTCGCTATTCACAAAGACACTCAGTACTAGGCTTGTATGTATGTCTGTCTGTCTGTGACACCCTCTCTGGCATAGCAGCACTGTATCGAACTAGGTCCACCATAATTATTTCGACTTGCCATAGTCCAGTCTTGTTGGGCGTTCATTTTCACAGTATGTGAAGGCACACTTTTGCTTTGCTGCATATTTCAAGACTTTGAAAATAAGACTCACTGGATTGACAGTCACTGGCTCTTTCACCAGTTTGTGGTGGAAATGAAAGTCCAAAATGAGTCCCTCAGAGAGCAGTAGGACTGGCTGCAGAGATAATAATTATGGTGCTGGCTTTCCTTGGTTGCAAATAATGTGCAGTCATAGAGCAAGGATCCTACAATTCTAGGAGCAGCTAGCCAATTAAAGAAAGCCAAGTTATATAAAGGTAGCTAGTATTCAATCCTCCAGTAATCTGGTCTAATGCTACTGGAACTGCACTGACTAAAAATGCCCCCAGAATCAAATACTGTGGGATGACCAATACATCTAGCTGCAAATAAATGATTCATTTTAATCGCACGCGTAGATTGTGTGAAATTTGGCAAAATGGTACTTCCAGACATTAATTGTCGCTATTCGCGAAATCACGTTTTTCTCAACACTAGCACGTTCTGAGCCAGGAGTAGTAGTCTGTAGTACACGAAATTGCACGGTGTAGTCTTGCTCAGATGTTATTTTGGAATTTACACCAATAGGAATCACAAACTGGTCTTCTCCAGGAGCAGCATCTGCAAAGAGTAGTGGTAAAAGAAGCCCATCAATGCCAGAACGCAGTAAGTGTCGTGGCGGCCATATTGCCATGTAATGACATTCAGAGGATCACGTGACATGAATTGTGATGTCACGTTACATCGTCTTATGACGAGAGTGGGGTATACTCGACCCTGATTGCCTGCCTGTTTGTGGCCTACTAGTTATACAGTTATGTATTATGAAAAAAACACATTTTTCGTGAGCCTCAGTGCCCAGTAGCATATCCGCTGCTGAAATTTGCACTTGTGTTTGCTCTCCAATTATGCGTAGCATTAGTGTATATATATATTTTTTCTGCACTGTGCAATGGCAATACTTGTATATAGGTAAACACTATGATTGAACATGTACCCATAATATTATTGTGATAAGGATTAAGACATTGTGCTCAAGTGATTGATTAAGTTGTGTTTAAATGATGTGGCAGAGGTTACAGAGGGAGGTGAAGAGGTTAGAGGTATGTGGAAAGAATGACGAAAGAAAATAGTTAGACTTTGCTTACATCAAAACAAATGTAGAAGTACTTCTGTGGGGATAATTGAAAGTCCTCCTCTGTAGTGGAAAGTCTGGAAAGTCACATATGTTGTTCAAATCTTGTATAGCAAACATAAGTTCAGAAAATCCCTCCTAGTTTGCAGGTTAGGTAGGGAACACACAGAGAGATATTGCTAGGTGCCACTGCTTGAGACAGAATTCAAGTGCAAATTTCTGCACCCTTTCCAGCTTAAGTATTCCAGCTTAAGTATGTCTCTCTGTAGATGAGGGTTCCAGACCTGGGACGCATATTCAAGATGAGGGTTGCAGACCTGGGACGCATATTCAAGATGAGGACGGACCAGTGAAAGATACAATTTTTGAAGAGAAGACTGTGACAAGTGCGCGCTGTACTGACGATAGATGAAGCTGAGCACTCTTTTCGCTTCAGTAGAGATGTCATGTATGTGTGTGGACGATCCCAATGTGTTTGACAGTGTAACTCCCAGGTATTTATAGGAAGAAACTCTCTCAAGAACATGGTCACAAAGCATTAGAGACCTAGGGGGAAGAATATTTCTGCTCACTAGTCCGGATATGATCATGAAAAGTATATTTATAGCATACTAGCCAATAGAAAAGAAAGAAAACCATAAGTCACCCTCCACCCCCCATCCTTCATCCAAGTACATACACAGACACAAACAACAGAGTTGCACACAACATTTGCATTTGTTTTTATTCATATTAAAGTGATTGGATACAACCCACTGAGAGATGGAGTCTATGTCACTTTGGAGTGGATCATAGTCACTGTGATTGGTTATTTCTCTGCATAATAGAATCATCGTCACTGTGATTGGTTATTTCTCTGCATAATAGAATGTCATCAGCATAGAGAACAACTCGTGTCCCTGGAGTTAACTGCACTGAAGGTAAATCATTGATGTAAATCAGGAAAAGTAGAGGTCCGAGAACTGATCCTTGTGGGACACCTGAACAAACTGAACTAATAGAAGATCGCTGACCACTGAGAACAACAACTTGTTTGCGATTATGGAGATGCCACTTTAGTAGAGTGCGTTAAATCCCCGAATCCCGTAGTTTATAAAGCAGAGGGCGGTGTGGGACAGATTCAAATGCTTTACAAAGGTCAAAGAAAACCGCGCACACTTCTTTACCATCATTGAGTGACTGTAGCCAGTTATGAGTTACGCCCAAGAGAGCACAGGTGGTTGAGCGGTTTGAACGAAACGAACGAACTTATTGAATGATCTCCTTCAAGTTCGTGGAGAATTATGTCGTAGATATGTTTCTCAAGTAGCTTACTCAGTAGTGAAATTGGTCTGAAGTTTGAGGGCGAGTTGCCACCCTTTCCCTTAGGAATCGGTACGATTGATGACGTTTTCCATTCACCTGGAATTTCACCAGTTACAATAGACATGTTGAAAAGGGTTGTAACACTCGCAGCAATTGATGTAGCAGTAACCTTGAGCATCCTTGCAGAGATGTTATCAGGTCCAGATGTAAATCAAGTCAGAGTAGGGTAGCTTTAACCTCGTCTTCGGTACACAAAATATCTTGTTGGGTGCACGAACCGTCCAGAGACGTGAAATCCAGTAATTCCCCATAAGCACTGGAAAGAGAAGGGACTTTGTGGTTGAAAAAACTGTAGAAAAAGTTATTTAATAGATTGGCTTTGGCTGTGTTATCAGAGATAGCTAATATCTCCATTGGTGGACATCAGAAAGGGTATCTGAGACTCTTTTTTCAGGACAACTTTTACTGTCTTCCAAAATGACTTTGGATCAGAGGGGTTAGCTCTGAAGAAAAACTTAGCTTTAAACCTCTTCAACGAGTTGGCAACTTTATTTCTCTTCTTCTTGTAGTGATTTGAGAGGCGGGTTCTCTTAGCACGCTTGTAGGCTGTATCCCGGACTTTCATTAGTCTTTTGAGATCACTTGTCAACCATGGAAGGTTAGTCTTTTGAGTACTCTTTGTGGGATGCATGTGTCCATGACTCCAAGAAATGTATTTTTCCAATTGGTCCAGGCATTGTTTATATCACCAGTTAACACCTTGGTCCAGTCAAATGTATCCAAAATAATTATTATTTGCCGACTCAAAGTCAGCTTGATTGTACAACCATATTTTACGGGGGCAGTAGTTAGTGGATTTTTACCAGATATGCTGATTGAGATCTGGATGTCACGATGATCTGAGTTACCTAAAGGAGGGATCACCACGCAAGACTTGAGTAGTGACTCTTGCGATACAAAAACCAAGTCAATGAGGAATGAATAGTAAGTACCGGTTGGGGATGGTATGTATTGCCTCACTAAACACACTGGGTAAGGTGAACAGCGTTATGATGGTACGAAATGAGAAAAAACATGGATGAGAGTAGGGCAAAAATTTTAAATTACATTAAGTCCCCTCCGAGAAGTACCAAAAAATTCGAAAAGTAAAACGTACATTTTTAATTTTTTAACTTGCAAAACTAAAATAATTGATCGAAAATGCTAGGACAAGAGCTTGGGAGGGCGATTATTAAGAAAGACCAGTGAAATTTACATGAAGAAAAACCACATGATACAGACAAGATGATAAGTTCTAAGTTGAATGGGGACTGGACAAAACTCTGAAAACAAACAACAGGAATCTAATGTAAAATCAAATTCCACCACATGCCATTCCTCCTATCTAATCAATGATTATAAATAATCAGTAATTAATAATTCAGAATCACTTATACCACACATAACCAGAATCAACGACACATACAATATCAGGCTTTGTTTCTTTTGTAACACCACATATTAGTCTCAACTCATCAATTTTAGGCAAAAGGCTACTCGTGTGATTGGAGCTACCTATCAGCTGACGGGCCCTGGCAGGCAATGAATTGTAAAAAATGAGGTGTGTTACAGAAACACTTTTCTACTGTTGGCGTAGATGCAACAGCGACATGATGGGGAGACTCAGGACTAGCTGTTGCACTTTAATGGATTGTTGTTGAGGATTGTGTGTCATAGACTGGACGCACCATTATGATCAACATCGCACACTGTGACAAACATTATCTGGTAGGGCTTGAGCGAACTTGATGTATTGAACCAGATGAGTAGCTGCCAGCATGTCCGCGAGTGCAACGCTGGAATCCCAGCTCCACGCATATTCTATAGGGTGTAATCGATATCTTATTCGCAAAAGACCAGCCTCATCATCACCTCGCACGAACAAACCTAACGTTGCGTACTTCGGCAGTCTTCGCAACCTGAAGGGACATACGTTGTGACTCTTCTTTTGATAACAAGGCTCTTAGGTGAACTGGAAGTGATGATGAGGAGAGACAGCATTCTCAATGCCTTGGTTAAGTGACTTCAAAGTGCCCCAAATGCGCTTGCTCCATGAAGGACATGATTTCTTTTTAGAAGCTGACTCGATCGAAGGCTTCTCGACAGTTGTCCTTGCAAAACAAACACTCTCACCTTCCACACATACTACCATTCACCACCACTGCTTGTGGAGAAACTACCCCTCACTTCACCATCACCACCTCTCTCTGTCCCTCCCCTCCTTTCGTATACTCCCTCCTCTCCTCCCGCCCTCCTCTTCCTTACCTTCCTCCTCTTCCTCCCCCTCTCCCACCCCAAGTCTTGCCCGCCCAACTGTACCTCTGGCAGTCAGCATTACGTGAAAGTAGGCCATGTCTGCGCATGAAATCATCGACCCCCTCCCCAAAGACTATCTCTACAAAGTGTATCAGTGACAGTGCCATCTTGCCACAGATACACTCGGCAGGCTTGATGCTCGACGGAGGCTAGCTCAAATCTCCCGCTAAAAACCTACGCATGCGTTTGCTTGCCATCTATGTTGCAGCTTCCATTCGTACGACGCTATCATTACATCGTGCGATAGCGCCAGAGTCTTAGTACGCGGTGCCGTTCTTTATACTTCACCCGTTCAAATTTCATGTTAACTGTCTGGCAGTTTTCTCTCCACCACCTCCTCCCCCTTCCTCTTCCTCATCCTCTCATCGCATTCTCTGGTCTAGGGTGTCTGATCACCACCATTGAGAACTATCAAAATCTTGTTAGCAAGCGGCTTCCTAACTTCCCCTCGGATATTTTAGAATGCTCCAGGGTTGGCTGATGACACCATAGTAAGCTTCTGGATGATTATGCTCATCAACTTGTTTCTACTCTACTTGCCTGTTCCAAACTTTGCTTTCCCAGTCGGTCACCCTCTTCTCGCCCTCTAGTTGGCTGGAGATTAGGATCTGAAACAAGATGCGGATTTCAGGTACAGGGTATGGAGAGAGGCTGGTAGCCCCCTCACGGGTGTTCTTTATGATATCAAGAAGAGCACTAAGAGAAAATATAAATCATCTGCTTGTCGCCTCAAGCGTAAACAACATCAGCTTGTTCGAGAAAAACTTGCCAAAAACTATGCATACAGGGAAAAAAACCTGTTTTTGGTCAGCTGTTAGGCAACTGAGTCACCCAACTACATCACGAGCAGCTGTTGTTGATGGTTGTTGCTCCATGTCTGCATCGATCAGATCCTCAATCTCAACTGCTCAGCTTCAGGATATCAAGGTGTCTAGCGACGACGTGCTTCAAGCTATTTCTAACCAAAAGAATTGTAAATCAGATAACCTTGGTCTTTTCTCTGAACATTTAAGGTATGCTGGCCCTGTCATCGCAGGTGACCTCGCTATTTTCTTCACAGCTTGTTTTAAGCATGGCTAGTGCATCCGGGATTGTGTTATCGTTCCTGTCCCTAAAAGCGGGAAGGATCCAACAAGCAGTACCAATTATCACCCGATTACACTTGCTTCTACCAAACTGATTGAACATGTCATTCTTCTCAACTATGGAAATATCTTCTTCATAGTAGTCACTTGCAGTTTGGCTTCAAGGCTGGCTCGTCTACCACCCTGTGCTCAGCCCTGAAATCTGTTGTTTCTCGTTATAATAATGGTTCCAATGTCTTCAAAGCATTTGATAGAGTAGATCACGGACTTCTTTTTCAGAAACTAGAGAAGAGAGGTTTTCCACCTGCAATCCTGAATTTTCTTCTCCAGTGGTACAGTATGCAGAGGATGAGTGTCCAGTGGAATCATGACTGTCTCTCTGGAAGCTTCAAAGTGTCTAATGGGGTTCGTCAAGGTGGTGTTCTTTCTCCCTTTTCTCTTTGCTGTATAATATTTGGAGAGTTTGTTGAAGGAGTTGTCTCTCTCTGGTGTTGGTTGTTGTTGGCGATGGATGTTTGCTGGTGTTTCGCAGATGATATTGTTCTATTGGCTCCTTGCGCCTCTGCTCTCCGCAAAATGCTATCAATTTGCAGTTCCTATGCATCATCACATGGTTTGATATTTTAATTCTGAAAAGACTCAACTGATATGCTTCAGAAAGAATGTCCGGCAGTCCTCGGTTGGTAACAAGTCTAATTGTCATACATGCATGTAACCGTAACAAAATTTGAACCCTTTGATGGGTATTACATTTCAGTGATAAAAACACACTTCTGCTGTCATAATATATTTACAGGATATCAAATTCTGAGGGTAGATGCATAATAAGAAGCACTAAGCAAAACACC